CACAAGCCACTAAGTCATACCCAGATTTTTTTGTATTACTTTTTCTGTATTATCACCATCAGATTTTCATATTTCAAATAATCTATCTCTCATTTGTCAAACATTACTTCGTTTTCATCCGTGTAATGAAGATATCTGACACTTATAAAAAATAACTAAAACCGATTATAAGTTTCAAATAGGAAAGTAGAATCTAATGAGTACAAAAGCCAAGTTTTATTAAAGGTACTTATTATAAGTGTATGCTAGCACAAGCTTTTTGTTAGTTCTATTAAAATTTATTTGGATCAAGTAATGTGTTGATCTATATGAATCAGTGGTTGAGTTTTTTAAAAGATTAATCAACACGATGTTTGTTCAAGTAGTAAGTATTGCATAACACTAAGGCATTCTAAAATGTATATTTTAGCCACACAATACAAATTATGGAATTCTACACTGGTGCAGCTGTTAAATTATTATCTGTGACAGTTATTACATGCAAGGTATTTCGATATTAACATGTAATGTTAGCAATATAAAGCCTCTTATATTCGTTTTCACTGTAAAACTAGTAACAAGAAAGATATGCTGTATTTAACATTTATATTTTGATTATACGTTTCAAGTCTCAGTCACGTAAGAAGTTTTGTTTTGCTAATGTTTTCAAACAGAATACTTGCTTTGTAAGTGCTTTTGAAATAAGTTTACTTTGAAAAGAAATTACTTACATAAAAGCCTATAAGCAAATACGTAGAAATGAACTTGAATTGGAATAAAACAGGTAATTATTTCTATTTTCGGATGAACATTCTTAACAAAAGTATTAGTATCGAGGCTTTGACTCCACATACCTGTCAAGAATTGGGTAAGATTGCCATAAAACTAGAGACTTGCCAGAAAATATGTTGCAGAGAATAAATCTCAATTTCTCTGGCCTCGACTGAATTTGGCACAAAGGAAAAGTCTGGACACCAGTTGTACATAATAAAACAGTCTATATTTCAACGCACGATCGAACAACAAGCGTAAAGTGTGGCATCTATACTAGAAAGAGATGTGATTTTAAGAAAGTTGTGGTAGTGAATTCTATGTTAGATTACAAACTGTTAAAAGTTCTAAAAATTATTTGATACATGACATTGTATATCAGTAATAACAATGCCATTTTTTCTAAGAGCACAAACGTTGCTTACGTGATTAATGACCACTTTTATGTACCTGCGACACCCTTGTTGATTGGCTTAATCATTTAAATAACTATGGCAAGAGGAGCGTAGTGTTTGTTTGTTTGTTTGGAATTTCGCGCAAAGCTACACGAGGGCTATCTGCGCTAGCCGTCCCTAATTTAGCAGTGTAAGAATCGAGGTAAGGCAGTTAGTCATTACCACCCAACCCCCTACTCTTGGGATACTCTTTTACCAACGAATAGTGAGATTGACCGTCACATTATAACGCCCCCACGGCTGAAAGGGTGCGCATGTTTGGTGTGACAGGGATTCGAACTCGCGACCCGCAGATTGCGAGTCGAGCGCCCCAATTCAAGGTTAAGGACAGCCTGATAACAAGTGTAGTAGAATGTGGTACTTGGAAAAGTTCCGTGTTTAATTTATCTATTAGCTTAGAAAGACAAATTGTTTACACATTTTATTTTTTTGTAGTTTAAAAACTAGATATCTTCGATTTTGTAAAAATAAACTTTTAGGCATACATGGTTTTAACATTACAGCTACGATATAGAAAAACCGCCTTGTCCAGTATTGACCTTATTTCAAGATGCTAGCTACACATGGTCAAGATGCGTGTCCTATTTGAATATATTTAGACGTTTCTCGTAGACAATGTTTGTATAAATTTATTCTGATATCTCGTACCCGCTTTCTTTGGTTTCATTGCTGAAATTTCAGTTTAGAAACTCCTGGAAGTTAAATTCTCCCTACTTTAACTTGGGAAAGCCAATGATGTCAGTAGTTCCTACGTTCTGAAAGGGATGGCATTATTGTTTTTGTAAATATAATGGAATACTCTTGTGGTATATATATATGTGTGTGTGTGTGTGTGTGTGTGTGTTTTCTACTTCCTTGTATTAATGTAGGGTTCTTCAAACTTTGTTATTTGTGCAGTTGCCGCATAACACATTGGTCAAGAAGGTCGTTAAGTTACTGTTGCTCAAGCTACCAATTATTTTGTGTCATTCACCTAGAGTAATACTTTTTGCCTTTCCATAGTATATATTGCTGGAAGACCACCCGTAGTGTTTGAAGTTACAGTTATCTTTCCTACTGACAGTCAGGTCTCTTGAGATAATTACTTCCCTTATGTTTCATTACGAATGATTAGTCATGTGAATAGTGCTAGTTGCTCTGGATTAGTCTGCCATTAATAAGTTAACTAAGTAACGAGAGATTTATATAATCTGGATCACGATCTTAACAAAGTCAGTGTGGAACAAGATCTTGACTAAGTAAGCTATAGAGTTAGAGATTACTGCAATCCTAACTTACCAGTAAAGGTGACTGTCCTTTGTGACAAGTAAAGTACATTTTCACTGAGTTTGTTTGAATGAAGGTTGTTTATGAGATTGTACATTTATGTTCAGTATTTCTTTCTTTATTGCAAACTCAGTTAATCAAAGAATACAGAATTATTTCTCAATAAATATCTTGACGAATCTCTGGTTTACCTGCATGCCTATTTTGTCACTCTTAAGGGATCTCAGTACTATCTGAAAATATCGCACACTTCTAGACTAGAACAAAATCTCAGATTACCTTCAAAACATCTTCCTGCATTTTAGAAATGCTGCCCAATCCAAACCTTGATACACTCAGTATTTTGCTTTGTTTCTTTATTGTAAATGAGGTTTAATTTTATTTTGTTTAACATATTAGCGATCTATTTTTCAGCTTACTCAAATAAAATTTTCGGCTTTAACTCTATTACAAAATCTGCCCTTTCCTCCTCGTGTTATTTGCAGTTATTACCCGACAGGTAAAACAGAGTATCTGACAACCACAAGCCCAAGTGTAAACTATCCAAGAGCCAAAAGTGAAAATTACTACTATGTAATCTGTTGACGTGAAAAAGTTATCGACACATTTCAGGGACGTTGGTCTGGTTAAGTCGCGAATTCAGGATTATAAAGAAATAAACCCAGAAAATATGTATACCACAATATCTGAAAGACTGAAAACAAAAGGAGGTAGGTTTCATAAAGACATTGACAAGCACAAACACACTAAGTTACAAGAAACAAAACGTACAAGTAATATAGACTTGAAAAATAATCTGGAAAAATCACATCAGAGGTATCTAAATGTTACAAATTATCACCCATGCCAGGGTTTATCTATAACCTTTACCTGTCACAACTAGCCTGTATGGCACTTTCTATTGTGATTTTTTACGTCTATTGAACTATTTTAAGAATGATGGTGTTCAAAAGTTAATGCAGTTTTGCAAAATACACAAAATCGGTCATATGGCTAAATTTGGTATCAAAATGTTTGGAATGATGGGGCCTATGTTGATAGTGAACATACAAATCAATATAAATACAAATGGTCAAGACCTGACCTGAAAACATCAAGACTGCCTTACTCACATCACAAGTGCATGAGAAGTCAAGGATGCAGATTTTGTGGAAACTCGGCTATGTAAAGGAAAAGTGGGATTCATCGTGAGGCTGCAATAATTCCAAAGAGTTAGTCTAAAAAATGTACAATTGTGAAAATAAAAAAAGGGTGGAACAGTAAAAACGGACAAAGTGCTCTTTCAATGGTTTCTTGTTTGTTTTTGAATTTCGCGCAAAGCTACACAAGGGCTATCTGCGCTAGCCGCCCCTAATTTAGCAGTGTAAGACTAGAGGGAAGGCAGCTAGTCATCACCACCC